CTGGTTTCCAGTAGTGCACTTTAAGTTTAACATGAGCTGTTGAGTTCTAAAGTTTCAAGTTAGCTAGCCTTTGTTTCTACTAAGCATATGTAGTAGCCAGTATACTAATATATGTTTCAAACGTTACGTTAACCTCTGTAGAAAGATAGAAAGAAAGAAGCAAAGAAAGAAGAAAAGGAATCACGCCACTAAGAGTTGGTTATGCTAATGAGCCCGTGCGCTCATAGTTTATGTGACCCCTTCAGGAGTCAGTCCTAACACCGACTCCGTGTTGTAAACACGTCTGGAATAAAACTCCTCGTCTGCACTTGTCGTTGTCCGAGTTGTTCAACGCGTCCTTGGTCACTAACTGGCGATGGTAGACCAAGGACACCACTGGATACTAGTAGTATAACATTCCTTTGCAAGTAAGTTAAGTACTAGTATCCAGTGGTGTTAAATAGAAGTCCTAATGCTCTGTCTTTGTTAAGTTGAACCAAAAACTGTGGTCCTATATATAGTTTGGTCTCCATTGAAACAGAGTACATGTTTGTTACCTTTTCTGCCTCAATGGAAATGCTCAGTGACCTGAACAATCAGTATATACAGCTTAATCTCAGGCAAGACTTTACAAGTAGACTTCAAGAAACAGAACGGCTTGATTGTTACATTAACTATAATAGTATAGTACAGCTACACAGACTACCAGTAGTGAGTACATGTTCACCTTTCAGTTGAACCCAGTCCAAAATTAACGCTAAAGTTGAAACCTCGGTCTGAAGGGCATATGCACAATGTAAATGTCCACTAAAAGAAGAGAGCCAGCTTGTAACGCAAGGACACATGGATATCCAAGTTATTCTACACTTATGTACATGTACAATAACATGATTAGTAGTACATGTAGTACCATATAATATAATGGCATGTACAATGGCTAGTAAAGGGCATTATGATATAAACAACAAAAAATGAGGTTTGGTCATTAAAATGGTTTGGATAAAAGGCAGATAAATTGAGGGAGTGGCCAGCATAAGTAACATAAACCTTCTCCCAGCTTGTACACTTAAAACTGAGGAACAGCCACTGCTTTTATGACCAAGAAAAGCTGCAAACATTAAAACAGAACCACCTCCGTCAGTACCCAGTAATTACCTAAACTAAAGCACCAAAAGCGACAACAATAATTGTCTTGGAGGACTGAGACAGGACTGAGAAAAGAAACACTTACCATAATCGCAGTGGAGGCAGTCACCAGAAGTTTTCAGATTCCACTGTACTGGCTACAAATTCCAGGCTCAACAGATAAAACCCAGCCTGTCACCCCATCCAATAGAATTGTGTTACACAAACAGGTCTGTTACTGGCTCTAAACACAGTGGAAGGATATGTAAGATCTCAGTTCGACTCAACAGCTGACATGCATGGAAATCAAGCTGTGGTGTGGGATGCCCCCAGGCTCAAATATTGACAAACTGGGAAGGCAGGCCCAGCAAACACTGACAGAGTGAACCCTGTCCCTGTACTGTTGTCTGGATCTTGAATATCAACTAGTTTTCCCCGAGGGACTGGTCACATGGGCTGTGATTACTATGAACTGGCCATGCCTGTACTGTATGCAGATCTCCAATATTGGATGCTTCAGCAGACATGAGGAAGAAGAAACTTTGTCTAGAAAATAAAATTAGACAAACTAAAATAGAAAGATCAACAAGATATCATCAGAGCAGTATTCTATTTCATACAAGAGTAACCACAAAATGTACAGATAATTGATTTTCTGAAAAAAATTATGATGATTCTGACCCTGTTAGGAGAAAGAAGAAACTTTGTGTAGAAAAAATTAGACAAACTAAAAGATCAGTTGACCAAGTGATCATCAGAGCAGTATTTTATGTAATAATACCCTGAAGTTATTTAACATCATTAAGTCCATACTTGAAACTAACCCTTCAGCAGGGTTCCCATGTTCACCTAGAAAAGAACAAAAGAGGAAGTACTTGTCACTCATACCAACCATCACTAGCAGTTAGTACATGTACTTGTAAGTGAAATAGGTACTCTCCAAGCAAAAGTTGATGGGGAAGATCTTTACCTTTTTATATATGGACCGTTTTCTTTCTCACTATCCCCACCAACTTGGGTGAAACGTCCTGTTGGCACCCTAGGATCTGCTTGGAGATTAGGAATAGGGCCTACGAGGAAAATGGACCATTTGATACAAAGGGGCACTTTAGACTGACGACGGTTCGATAGTCGTACGAATGTTTATCGTCAAGATGTTGCCGGCGACGGTATTTTACCACCGTCTAAACACGACCAAAATAGTCGCACGACGGTAATCCTCGAATCGTCGTCACTACCACCTCGGACCCTATCGTGCGATCCTTCAGCGGGGGGTCCGAGGAGGATTTTCCATCGTCTAAAGTGAACCGTCGCCGGCGAAGGAAGTGGGAGGTCATTGGCCTTATGCAAATAAGCCTGCAAGCGTTATTTCATGTCCAAGCACATCGCCTGTATCATTAAATGTCGTCAAACCAAAGACTTTATATCGTCATACGTGTCTAGTACAATCCCCTGCCACCAATCGCTACTTCTCCGGTACGAACCGATCCGCCGATCCACATTTCCCGGCCAATATAGCCAGGCCGACGGCAGCACCAAACGCCTGGTTCAAACCCGGAGTATTTCCCCGCTCGGTACATGTGCCTCATACCCCTTCTTTGCTGGGCACAAACTCGGCGTCTCATCCACAGGACAACGAGTTAAAAGCAGGATAAAAACAATCTGCTGTGAGCATGCCGAAAAAAGGGGTTCTCTCGCCATTTTGAATTGGCGCGCGACGTGCCATCCTGCGCTGCGCAGGCGCTGCGGGTGTCCGCCACGCTTTATGGTCATGTGTCTAAAGCCAGCCGTCGCCCACAACGATTGTCGTGCGATCGAATACCGTCGTCAGTCTAAAGTCGGCCAAAGTGACAGCTGTAAGACCACCCACAGACCTTCTAGATTTAACTGCCTCACCTGTTTGTAAGTCAATGAGAGAACTTGACATTCCGGTTTGTCCTGTAGTTTAAATGGCGGCTGACGAAAGTGAAAATAAACACCTTCATGAACAGCCTTTTGATATGCAAATCTATAGAGGTGACCCAAGCGATCAGCTGTTTTGTGATGATTAAAACACCTGAGGTCTGGTTACACGTCCTTTTTGTCGCCATTTCCTATGAACATGTTTGAGCAAACATTAGAGCAGCTGTAGCAACTGCTCAATGCAGCGTTTAAATTATCATCAACAGTGGTACTAGATAGAGTAAAAACTAGAACTTAGAAGTTTAAATACAATCTTGCAAAATTGAAAATGTATGACACTTAGGTTGCAATCAACATCATACCTGAAGAACCATGATACTGGTATCTCCCCATGACTACAATGTTTTTGGAGAAAAAAACTTAGCCTGGAGTCCGGCCTTGTTAGATTTCGTTGGCTCCCAAGATCAGGGATGACATTGGCCAGGTGGGGTAGCTAGCAGATATCATGAGTAGCTATTAGGTAAGAGAACTTTTTGTGTTGGATCGAAAGTTTTAACTCTAAACAGCTATTAGTATTAATTAGTAGTGTAAACATTGCTGGACTCCAGATTAAAAAGAAACTTAGAAAAATTAATATAAGTTATCTATCTGGGTAGAAAAGACAAATTACTAGTATTTTATCTGAACATTTTCTTGTGAATCCTACAGGTGAGATAGGTTTTCCAAAACCACCTTAATTACAGGAAGTCCTACAGACGGCAGTATATCCTGTCAAACTTGTCATGTCCTTTCTTTTAAAACCTGAATAAAGAATCCTGCTCAAACGTTTACGTTGACAACTTCTAGACTCAACACTTTAATACGTTGGGCCACTGCCCTAGTTTTAAAGAGCTGATCTACTATCTACTATCAGTGAAATCAACACAAGTTTGGACTGCTTTTTCGTCGAATCACTGTGCACTGTAACAGTTTAAACTTCAACACCGCATGATTGTCACCGTTTGTGAACTTCGCCCTGAATGTTGGCCACAGAGTTTTAACTCAAGACAACACAAGTACAAAGTTACAGCAAGCAACGCCGACTATATAGTATATGCATCATGACTACGCAAACCTGAATCTATCGCCATGCAAACATAACGGTGCACCAAACCATGGACCAAACGTACCCCTCACCTGTTGGCAAGCAAGTCTTAGCCCTCACTCGTTGTCTCGAGGTGTTGTGTGAGTTTTAGGAATCAGTGACCTGTTAATTTGAGTCACTGAAACTTTTTTCTGGCGGAATGTTGCGGCAAAATTTGTTCCACAACAAGCGGTCTCCCTGTTGGGGCCACGACCTCGAAATTTGACCCTGACGAAATCATCGGAATCCTGGTGGACTGTACCATTCGGACAGGTGTGACTAACTAATTTTTATAAAATTTCATCACATTTACATCTACATGATTCAAACAGATGATGCCAAATTTCGACAACATTTGGAACCTTATTTTCGAGACATAAAATACAGTTACCGAAACTCTGCTACTGTGATGATGTATTGACAATTTATTTTTGCCTAGACACCGCGGTTGGGCTTACTTTTGGAGTGGAATATTCTGAAACCGGCGGAAAACCAACATGGCTGCCCCGTGGGAGTTGGCTGCCACGGTACCGCTTTGGCTCTGTAAAATGCCGTACATTTCACATACAACGGTCTACATAGACTCTTTTTATATAGCTAAATCGGCTCTAAGTACGACGACACAACTGTTGTTGACATATTATGCCTAGTGTGCCTGTGCACGGTAGAAGTTCTGGTGAAGTCATATCAGCAAGGTCCTAGACCTGCGCTGCGACATCTACTAGTAGTAGATTGAGGTTCACACAGATTTTGTCTTTCCAGCAGTCCTTTATCAAAATGATTTATACATTTTCGTGTCCTGAGTACTACAACAAGATGAAGAATGTCTACACGTGGTCAAACAAAAATTGAGGAACGAGGAAGGGCTCACCATCGCGTTTCTTTCCCAGTCTGCTGCTAGCACACATGTACAAGAAGCGCCCATCACATCCTTGTGCATAAATAATCGGAATCTGAATTCGAAGAAACCGCCGTGGATTAATTAATGCTTGGTTGCCATTCAAATTTATCACGCTTCGCTTGTCTTCCAATGAAAAATACGCAAGTAATTCATTATTCATCGCAGATCACGTGGCATATAGTATATAGCCAAAAAGACAGGCGACTCTTTCAGCCAAATCCGTGTTAGTATAGTGGTGAGTATCCCCGCCTGTCACGCGGGAGACCGGGGTTCGATTCCCCGACACGGAGAGCTGATTTTTTTTTCGTCTCCATTATATTTTCCTTTTTATTCCTTTTCCTCAAATCCTCAGATTTTAATATTACCTATGCTTTTGTGGCGTTTTTCTCTTCCTCGGAAAAGGCGATTTATCGAAACGACTGGATACCAAACTACATGCAGTACTCCCTAAATTCGCATGGTGCGCCACTGCACTAATTTGTTGACCCCGGAAGTGGAACCTTCAGGATGAGATAACGGGTCAGGCCAGGCCGGAGTTTGACAGGACAGAAATGCCGGTGTACTGACGCACGGGTTCCGCTATATTTATACACAGCGATCCCGTTGCATAGCTGGCCGAATTTGGCACAGACGCTTACTTCTTCCATCCGGGAGCAGATTTCTGGGCTGAACTTGTGATAATTTGACCAAAATCAAACAGTTGGAGAGACCAGAAAAAAGAGACTTCCTGTCGTCTGCGGGCGTCTGACAGCTTCCCGCTCTTGCTGGAATTTCGGTCAGTTTTTACAAGTCTTTTGTGGGCATATATCAACCCCCAACGTAGACTCTGATCGCATTTCTCACGCCCAGTCTATAGTAACAACCGCCCGCAAAGTTAAAGATGTCTGGAGGAATTTTCCAACCCCTGGGCTCGCTGCAAGACCTGGACGGGCCTACCCGGGACCCGATGTGGTGCTACCTCTGTAACGAGAGATTCGAGGAACCATGCCTCCTGGACTGCTTCCACGCGTTCTGTGCTCAGTGCCTGCGGGGGAGGGCCAGCGAGGGCCTCATCTCTTGCCCCATCTGCAGTTCTCCCACCAAACTCACGGAGGGAGCCGCCCTCCCCCCTGTAGATCCCATCCTCAAGTTCTTGGTGGAGGTTCATGGGACGGAAGAGAAAGTGTTCTGTGCCAACTGTGACAGGGAAGCCTCACACAAAGACTGCGGGCCCATGTGCTTCTGTAATACCTGTAGCCAGCCGCTGTGTACGCAGTGCAAGGAGACGACGCACAGTGCCAAAATGTTCTCGAAACACGACGTTGTGCAGCTGAACAATGTCCGCCGACTCAAGGAGACAGTGAAGAAGTGTGTGCAGCACGGGGAACCCTACATCATGTTTTCCCTGAAGAAGAGGGACCTCCTGTGCATCATGTGTTTCCGTGACACCTCTGTGGAGGACAGGGCTCACTGTATCGACTTGGAGACCGCGTATAAGAACGGGCGTGAGACTCTGGAACAAGCCGTGCTGTCTGTCCAGGATCTGCAAAGCTCGGTCCGAGACTCCATCATCCTACTGCGTGCCCTCTGCGAGGAAGTGAAAACCAACGCACAGCAAGAACAAGAAGATATCAAGACCCTCTTTGAACAAATGCAGGAAAAGTTAGGAGAAAGAAAGGAAGGACTCGTCGAAGCGGTAGACACTCAGTACCAGGAAAAGTCGAAAGCCTTCAAGAACCAGTTGATCACCCTAGCCGCTCTGCTCCCCACATTGCAAGTGAACATCTCCAGTAGCAAAACTTTCTCTCTAACAGCGAACAAGTATGACTTCCTAGACCTGGGGTTTGTTTTGATCGACAGGCTGATGGCTATCGTGCACTTACCGCACCAACTCAGCCCTACCACCAGCAGTAAGATCAACTGTGACCACAAGGTGGAATTCGCCCGGTGCCTTGAGCCCCTCCTAGGAAACGGACTAGCCTACAAGTCTTCCAAAACAAACGGGCACGCGTCAGGCAGCTCAGGAACATCAGCAAGTGGTGACGGTGATCATTCAAGGAACAACGAAGACGGAACTGTTGATAGCCTCGCCGAGAAGTGTAGGACAACGGCCATGCACGTGAACTCCTCCCTTAGTATATGCCACGGGAAGTACTTCAACGCCAACAGCTGCAAGGTGTTTGTGGATGAGTCGGGCCCCTTCGCAGAGCACAGTAGGAATTATGACGCAAACTACAAGATCCTGAACGACAGGGTGAAGAAGTTGAAGAAGGACATCCAAGAGCTCCACAGGGATCTGACGCAGCGACGCTGCCTGACGCGGGAACAGAAGGTGACGAACCTGATGGAGGAGTGTGGCCAGGTGGACTTCACCATTTCCACCCAGTATACGGCAGTTGAACAGATGCAGTCCGTGTTTCAGAAGTGGTGGGAGGAGTGCTTCCAGAGGGTTACGCATGAACAGGAGATGTACCAAGCGCAGCTAAAGGATCTGATGAGACTTAAGCAGGAGACGCAACACTGCACCACCATCGCCAGACAAATCGCACCCTTTGTGAAGTCCATAGCAGCAGTAAAGGAGAGGATCGATCCAAGACTGGGAGCGGCGTTGCGTAGCGAAGACCACGAAGGCTGCATGCACGCTATTCTGGAACAGATCAACACGATGGAGCCGAACTCACAACAACGCGTAGATGCCATCCGAACCGCGGAGGAGTCCCGTGACCTGGCTTTGCAGAGTGAAGCCAGCAGGCCGAACCCATTGGAAGACAGTCTGATCAAGACAAAAGGTACGCTAAAGCCACCTAAAATACTTCCAGAAAAGAGCCGTCCTGTAGAAGGGAAAGAAGACATTAAGGACGTAACAGCTGATACAGGTACTGCAAAAGAAACCCAAGCACATGGCAGCAAAGACGAGCAGCCAAGTGCTCTTCCCAAGCCAGAAGAGAAGAGTAAAAAAGAACCTGTTGACAAGAAAGATTCGCTCCTGAAAACTGGAGCTCTGCTAAGGAAAGACGAAAATCTGAAAATTGGTATCCCACTGATTTGTAAGGAGGAACTTGCAAAGGCAGCAGCCGCTGCCGCCTTGAAGAAAGAAGAGAGTAAAAGAGAAGAAAGTAGCAAGACGGCAGGCCAATCACCATCTAAGGAGGAACACAGCAAGCATGCAGCCGCTACAACTGTCAAGAAAGAAAAAGAAGGAAGCAGCAAAGTGGACTCTGAGAAGACAAAGGTGATGTCAAAGGAAGAACTTGCCAAAGCTGCGGCATCTGTCGCATTGAAAATGGAGGAAAACCACAAAATCGAGAAAGAGTGTAAGGCATAGACCTACGTAAGTACAAGTGTACAGGAGCTGAAACCGGACATGTTCACACAACTAACTCCAAAACTCAAGCAGATGAGGGAACTGATGGTATGCACTTGGACTATAGCAATACAAAACCATTTGGTCACCAATAATGTAACTTATAGCCCAGTATTGATGTAGAACTAGAAGCAAGGTATCCTTGACTACCTCTGTACACATTACCCTTCATATTAAGTCCATATTATATTAGTCTGTGACTGTAGTGTGAAAACATGCATCATCTATGCAGCAAAGTCAGTTCATGTTCTCAACTAATATTCATGATTTTCAGACTTGGTTTGCTTCAGGTGTAGTACAAACCATCTTCTCAGTTATTTTGATTTGATGAATAGATCTATGATGCACATGCAGTTGGTAAAATTGCAGTTCTGAAGTTGCAAAGAAATTGAGTGATGCCAGTAAAACTTGTCTGGTACAGGTTATTTGGAATGTTTATTTGCTTCAGTTAAGTTCAACTGGTAATACACCTGTAAGTTGTTGTACAGGAAGTATAAGCTCTGCTGTGTAAGACCAGACTATAGGTTTTAGTCCATCCACTCCTGAAAGAACCCCAACACTCCTCGATAAGTTTGATAACTGTAGTGGGATCTTTAACATGCTCAAGGTGTGACATAGGAAATGTCCCATCTGAAAGGATGCCCCTTCCCAACCAAAGCTAGGTACTCATTTTCGAATGAGGAAATAGGTGAACTGAAAATGTCTTTTCCAAAGTCACAACATTGAGGCCTGCTAAGGATTCAAACCCAGAACTTTGTTACCCATACCATTGTTGTCATGAAATATGCTAGTACATGTATTATATGATGGTCAGTGTGAGACATGACCTTGGCATTAACTAGTGTCAACTTGGTATTCTGGAAATCCTGGTGAAGGGAGGAGGGTGTTTGTTTTGTAATCTAAACATGGCTCACAGATAACACACCCTGCATTCCCTATGTCACTGCCAGACAGATTCTCCGCTATTGATAGCTATGGTAACAGTCAGCTTTTCATGCTGATTGAAAAAAAAATGAAAAAGTGTCTTGTTTACTATGCATGTCATGATTTTCATGCGTAACTTCGGTCCAAGTTCTTGTTTACTCATATCTAGGCCAATTTCCTTTTATATTATTTCTGGTGTAGTGGCCATGACCCTATAGTTTACACGAACCAGGATTTCCAAATGCCATGTTACTTCCAACAACATTGTAAGGTGTCCCATTCTAACTTCAACACTGGAGGGAACATTCAGACTTATATCAGGAAAGCAAAATTTGTTCATGCCATATTATGGCATGAACATAAAATGCATCTTAAAGATGCATTTTATGCTATCTTATAGTGGATGAATTACAAGAAATGTTACAACTTTTGTGTATCGTATGGCCAGTATATGGTTTCCCATCATCTCAATTAGGAAAGACTGATAAAAGATATTGCAAGTAACATATATGTAACGTTACATATACATGTATCTACACTGGCAGTTTGTCTTGACACAATGTCAGTTGTAATGGGCTACAATAGGTAGCATTGGTTTCATAACAAAGGCCTGGTGTGACAGGTGCCACCCTTTCTATAACTGTACATGTATGTATAGACACCTTTCCCATTGTATGTATTCTGTACATACATAAAAGCTAATAAATAAGTAACAAGTTGTACAGTATGTGTGTTGCTTTTCTATTGTGAGATAAGGCCATGACATTCTTGATTCAATGTCAAATTTTAAAAAAAGATAGGAACACAATGATATCCAAGCTGTTTGCAGTATAAACTTAAGTCTTATTCTTACAATCCAGAAACTACGCAGTTTAATTTCCTCATAACTTACAGCGTTACAAGGTAGAGTGAACTAGCACAAGTAATACTTAGTGTTGTTTGGGTCATGTGGGTTGCACTTCGTTTAACCAACGCCAGGAGGCGCTGAAATGATAGTTGCTTTCCAAAGCCCCGAACATCGTCCTTGTAAATTTAAGTAGCCTGGTCAATAGGTACGTCTTACAACTGGGTGAAGGACGTACGCTTGCATTCTCACAAGGCCTTACCTACACACACTGACACGTCACGGAAGAAAAAAATGTAGGACGCGCTAACACCTGTGTCAATTTTGTCCAAGAGTTTGTGACTCCAAGCAGCGGTGTCGGGTTACTAGCGCCTTATTAGGTCAAGGCACTTGGTGGGCAACGTACAATAATTGTTGTGACGCCAAATATGATTCAGTGTATCTAAAGAGTTGTATCAAATCATCCGTTGCGTTCTACTACTAGTACTTTGTTTCCAGATGATGGGGCCAGCCTATGTCAGTTGTGATGCAAGACTAGAAATCGTCGCAAGGAGTCCTACCAATGACGCTGTGTCGTTTTAGAGAAGACGAACTTTATTGCATATGACAACGAATTATATTGAACATAGTACAGAAAAGAAAAGGGTATAGGATGAAAATTATCATCCTAATTACATAAACATTAAGAGCCAATACAGTATACAATTCAAGTAGGACTAATCATGAGTTTCGGCATTTATATGTGACCGACAGCAGTAAACTGTGATTACAATTATGTTATAAACATCAAAAGACATAACGCTACAATGTAGAAAGCGCTGCTCAGACTATATTTGAGCATTTCATTTCATCAAATAAGAATGGGAGATTATCGCCAGAACTTGGACAAAGGCACCTGTCGTACCATGCACTTTAAGGCTTGAAAATACATCAGTCAATCTTTATAGTTATACCATGGAGGTATGCACGTATAGGGATGAAACCAACAACTTCTGCATTAACTCATAAGCGTCTGTAATGCATACATCAAATAAGTCGCCATTGAGTTGCCTTTGTGTATCATCTGAGACAGCTTGGGCTCTTTCCCAAGGACAAGTGCACATAATGACATCGCTTGTAATAAAGCCAATCCGCCCTGGAAGGGGCTAATTGGAACGGCAAACTTGGTTGGCGCCTGTAGCTGTTGGTACCGCGGGGTCCGGTACCGTTAGGCCATGTTTTGTACACACTGACAAAAGTGACGAATGCGGCGGGGGGATTGCTCGGGGTCGGGAGCACGCACTTTCCCTCTCCTTTGTTTAAATATCGTGCTCTCCGTCTCGCCCGGCGCACAGCGCGTATAAAGAGGTGGTGACAGTCCGGCATTGGCCGCGGCTGAAATCTGCCGCGCAGTTACAGATTTAGAAGTTTAGTAGGCCAGCGGGACTCCAGGTGTATTGACATTGCAACAGGCCGCAGACTAGTCTTCGCAAAGCTAAGTGTACATGGACTTTTTCCAAGGTGCATGGATATAAAATGTCACAAACTTGCAAGATAGTTCCAACAGGGCAGGCCTTTCAGTCAACGTGAATTTTGTTATATTGTACCTACGAGTAATACCCATACCTACCTAGGGTGTACACCTGCGTATACTGTACAAACTTAAGGTTGCTTTTCGGAGCGAAAGCGTCGGTTACGTATGCACAGAAAAAGAAGGGGGAAAGGCACAAGAAACTCGAAAGGCGCTTATTATTAAAGCAGACAGAAAAGAAAGTAAGAGAATGACATTGAAACAATTCAAGGGACGGGGAGGAATGAAAGAAGAAGCCATAGAAGGAAATGTGACAGTCAAACCAAATCTATATATCCGCGGTGGTGAACGGTCCGAAGCCGCCCTCTCACAGTTAGCCAATAAAGGTCACGTCCTTGAAATAGTTAATATACGCGGAAACGGTCGGATTTACATATTGAAACTCACCCTTTTTATAACCCAAAGTTCGCGTGTATGTCTGTGCTGCAAGAACATGAAAACTGTCCTGATTTAGTTCATGTGCCTGTAGAAAATCCGTGCGAAACAGACTCGGTGTCTCCTCTTTTGAGCGACCTGTGCGCCATCCGAGCTACCTTCCGCATGCAGGGACTAGCCTCTACCAACCAGGCTTCGGGAGGCGGCTGGAAAGAGCAGAAATTGGACAAATACAGAGTTAACATGCCAAGGGGGTTGGTCCGCTAGAGAGTGCATTTTGTCGCACCCAAAAACTGTACTCTCTCTCTGGCCTGGCGAACCCGGTGAATCCCCAGCATGTTATCTCTCTATGTGGCCAATTTCTACTCTTTTCAGTCCCGAAGCCTGGTAGAGGCTAAACAGAGACGGAAAGTACACCGCCAGAACTTTATCATCACACCACAGGAGAAAAACAACTGTTTTCCCTACAAAAACAAATTTATCATTCAGGGGAAAAGATAGACGCTACTTCCAACGAGAAAACATAAAAATTCTGTCTCGAGATCTTTATCGTCGTCTTTCGTATGATCTTTGTCAGCAATGAATCTCTCCGTTTTTAATAGCATCGTAAACAATAGTTTGAGGCGACTGCCTTTTACTTTGTAAATAATTGGTCACGCGAGTGGAAGTACTTAAATAGGTACACTTCGTCACAAGACCACTGTGAAAGAGATGTGCGAGGTGTGTTTGTTTTCAACTACCTGGTGGTCATGTAAGTTAATTGTTGTTTTTGTTTTTCTTCGGACGTTTTTTTTTATCGTGAAGGATTCGTCCTTCACACGGTATAGTGGTTTCAGCTAGATGAAAACCTTTTGATTTTGAAGTTTTTTCACAGACCCGCTCACTAGTAAGAGAGTGAAAACTTTATCATTATACGATCTTATACATGTATCTCTTGAATGAGCGACTACTGTATTAATCCAGTGGCGAAACTAGTTGGTTTCCTCAACAAGGAGGTTTTCTTTTTGAACCTCCTTGCTTTCACTAAACTAAAGCCGAACCCTGTAACAGACACAAGCCAAGCGAAAGTGCACAGTATACGCGTGGACTTCAAAAGAGCGATGGACCGCTCATGGTTACTTTCTCTCATTGTTGTCACCATTATCTTGTATCAGCGTGAAGAAAAGACTGGAGGTGGAGTCCATCCATAAGTCTATTCATGTATTGTATGACCCCGACAACAAGACGTACTGTCGGTCCCCTGCGAAGTCAGGCTTTTTATCGCGCGTTCTGTTTCTCTTTTGGCGCGCACGGAAGGGGATATAAAAGTCCAAGGCGAGATGACGGAGTATTCAAGGCTGTGCTGTTGTGTCCGAATAAATGGAAGGAAAGCCATTCCCGCCTGATTTTGCGGCCCGTATTTATTCTGCGGACGGTCCCTGACCCCCCAGGACTGTTGATGTCAAATCTCAGACTCAGTGTCGCCACTCTGGTGACGTCATCACCCCTTGTGCACCCCATCCTGGGCCGCATCCATTTTCCGGCTGCGCGCTGAGAGAAAGTAGTTCTAATGACCGCGCTTCACCTTTCACATCCGGCGAATGTACCGCGGTGAGTGTGTACCTTATTTATTGCTATAAGGATCGGTACCAGAATGAACGTACTTAGATGGAAGGGGGAGTGTTCGTGTGTCCAGGAAAAAATAAATACATTTGTGCAAATAGTCCGGCGCGGATGGATGCCTTAACCCCCATGTGCCGGTGAACCGCCGCCAGTCCCAGTGTCGCCAAGTCGAAAGCTCTAGCCGAAATTTAGGCCTGCCTGACGCGCAAACGACAATTTTTCTCTGGAATGTATTTTTTGTCGGAGAATTTTCCCGCCGTAGATGAATAATTAGAGCGAGGACGACTCCATCAGCGGCCGCCGAAACGACCCAGGGTTCTCTGCCCAGCATCTGTGTAGGTATTCCGTATTTGGGGAGGTCGCTATTTTCAATGGACGGCGCCATTTTGACAGAGTATTTTGATGTATGATTGGGACGCGTGTAGGCCCCGGAACAATGCCGGAATTTCTCCCAGCTCTTTCAAGCTTTGCCCATGCGTTGTTTTGACTCGGACGCATTCCTCCACGCAGTGTCCACTCGCGTTGTCCCCCGGTTCACATGCACGGACCTGCACAGGTTGGGAGACCAGGAAGTGTGGTGGGGAGGGGCGAGGGCAAAGTTGGTCGCCCTTTTTTTCCACGGTGTTAAAAAAATTGGACGGCCGCCAGTGTGTTTCTGCTTTGTTGTCTGCAAGTTAGTTTCTTGTGAAACATAATCCGTCTTGGACAAAGTCGAGATAGTGCTTTTACAGTAGCCGCCCTGTCGGCCTTTCACGTCGTCTGGCCACAGAAGCATAATTTTCAGGCAACACCGGGTCTTGTTTATATGGGAGTGCTATGGTCCTCTGGAGTTCTGTTACTACAAATTATTTACTACAACGTATTATACGATGTATGCTAGAAAAATGGCCATTTTGGCAGGGTTTAGTCAAATCTTTTGTGTAAACTGAAGAACAGTGGACAGGATTATGTGAAAAAGCCAGCGTTAATACTTGGCATACTTGTTGTCTGAATCATCAGGAATTACATCACTTGACAGGTCCATGTGATGCAGCCCACCAAAGGCATTCATCAAACCTGTATCTATTATTATTCCACAGGAAAGGCCCTGGATGAATATTCATCAATGCAGAAGAGCGGTTCGGTGATCCATCAGTGTAGCCCGCCGCCCTGGAGGAGTGCGTGCTGTTGTACTAGTACATCGTTGTTGCGTGTATCACCCACCGGAGAGGAGGTTGGACTTCTTGTGGCCCGGCGGTAGCGAACACGGTTCTCTCAATCTGCTGGCCACACAAGCAAGATGACAATGGCGAGCCTCTTCTCTTTTACCAGCCCAGCCGTGAAGCGTCTGTTGGGCTGGAAGCAGGGAGACGAGGAGGAGAAGTGGGCCGAGAAGGCCGTAGACTCTCTCGTCAAGAAGCTCAAGAAGAAAAAAGGTGCAATGGAGGAACTGGAAAAGGCCTTGAGTTGCCCGGGACAGCCCAGCAAGTGCGTGACCATCCCGCGGTCCCTGGACGGGCGCTTGCAAGTCTCCCATCGGAAAGGCCTTCCGCACGTGATATACTGTAGAGTATGGCGGTGGCCGGACCTACAAAGCCATCATGAGCTGAAGCCACTAGAGCACTGCAATTATCCGTTTGGGGCTAAGGACACCAAGGAGGTCTGTATCAACCCATACCACTACAAGAGGGTAGAGAGCCCAGGTAAGGCCTAGTAGATCATTCGTAAACCTACAAGCAGATGTTGCAGGGTGAAAGGTGGTAACGTTTTCTGACTGCCAGGCTTCCTGACAGGCACTTACCGGCACCCCATACATATGGCAGTCAGAAAACGTTCTGATCTTTCACCCCCAGCATCTGCTTGGAGATTACTCTTCCTCGAAGGGTTGAACAAGGGGTTCCACTCACACGGTTGTCTGAGATGGGTGTGGGGACGTCGGGCAGCGTGTTTACACAGTTTGTCATGGTAACCTCAGGTAGTACGAACACTTATGTAATGTAATTAGCTACCTGAAGGGCCCACGCACCTAGTGCCATTGTGCCGCCACATCACCGCAAATAACTAGAGACCAACGCTAGAACAAGGGATTATGCTGAGGAGATCTCTCAAAATGCGAAGCGACATGTTGACAAAGGGAAGTCACGTTCAAGATAACACCATCACGTAGATGCACGGGTAATTGCAGCGAAATGGTTGCACCTGCCGGGAACGACTTGCGATATAGTTTTGAAGAAAATAAGTTAGCTGATACAAAATGAGTTGGAGAAGCAAGCACAGTTACGGTTCAGATTAAGGATGACTTGTAGCACCTAACATTTGTATTCTTAGCATATTTGCTGAAACTGTCTAGACATGTGTCAACAGGCAAGTTCATGCACACATCTCTGGTGCCCCGCAGGCTGTATTGACCAGGTTGAAAAGGGGGGTCGTGATCCCATTCTGTCAATGACACTTACATGATTGGGTAGGGAAAGTCCTTTTGAAAGAAGTGTAGAGGCTCTTTTCTAGTGCTGAGAGCCTGGATGATGGCTATCAGTTGATATACTTGACTGAGTTGAAGGTTCAAGTTGAGAGCCAAGATAATGATATTAGCACCTGTCAGTCACTCTAGTCTACTATCACGCCATACAGACGACACTGTAAAAACTACAGTATCATAAGCACTGTGTACAATGTGTACCATTTACACATTATGGTGTTGTGATAAAGACTTCATTTAGATGGCTGAACAAAGTAGAAAGTGGGTTTATTTTGCGCCTATGACGTTGTTTTGCCTTGTCTGCTCCTACAGTCCTAGTTGAAAAGCCAGCTGTCCTTTTGATCACATATGCAGACAGTTAGGAGGAAGTTATTCATTGAGAGAGAGGTCTGCAGGTTCCCTGAACAAATAGCCGGGGCCCCAGGTCAAGGCCAAAGGTCAAAAACCTCATTGTCCGACCATCCCTTTTGGCACTGTTCCTTTCCTTCCCACCAGACAGGGGCCAGGGGTGGATTTCAATGGGGGGGTGAGTCAGAAAGGGGTTCCAGGATGCAGCTGTATTTCTGTTATTGTTTTCTTGTTTTTGAACTTTTTCCCTGCCCCTGAGTAACCTCACTGCGCATGCACGATGTACGAACATTTCCATGCGCCAGCCAACGTCTCAGGAAATCCCTGCACGTGTGAAATTCAGCAGATATCTGAGATTCTCGGACAGGCAAACAGCTTCTCAGAATCATCCCTGTTTGGCACCTCCCTGACCCACTTCTCATGACAACCCTCACCCTGGCCCTGCCTGTCCCTGAATGGGTGCAGGGAGTCTGGCGTGACAGGAAGGGTGGGGATTTCTAGTCTCCACTCTCCACCAGACTCTTTTGCAGGCTGAATAAATAGTAGAAATTGGCCTAACCTTAACTGCAACTGGCCTGGGAGTTGGCCAGCCATAGAGGGTCCAGTTTGTCTGCATAGAGTCTTAGAGAAGTTGCTATCCTCTTTGATCATAGTACCAAGTACAGTACAAGACTTCTGAGACCAAGTACAGTACAAGACTTCTGAGACAGAAGAGTTAGCTTCCATCCCTACATCCAAATCTGCAATGGCCGTCAAAGAACCAAGAAGCCTGGTAATCAGAAAACACCACCACCTCCACTATCTGCTTGAAGATTACTAGTATGTCCCAGTCTGACCAGTGACTGTCACAAATGGTATTTAGTAATGGTCTTACTGCATTCTACTGCACTTCCTCCTCGGGGAGAAGTGTTTGTTCAAGTCTTTGGGAGACTAAACTGTGGGAATGTTATTAGACGTTAAGTGTTAACATTCTCCACAACATAAAGCCATTACGGGTGGAGCCAGGAAGGTCTAGTCCGGAAGCTGAACTGATCAAGTAACATGTTTGGTTGTGGGAAATATTCCCAGCACAGAAACATGCGAGACTGTGTGTAACACAAACTCTCACAGACTAGACCTCTGTGGAGCTCCTCTGGCCTGACTAGCGGAAGGACTACTAGAATTTTGACCTGTTTAGTGTAGATGGAACTGTTTTATCATAAACCTGTATAAGCAATACCTATGAATTACCTATGTATGTATGGCGTTTATCAGTTGCCATTATGAAATCATAAATCGTTGATTTTGTCTAAAAAGTCATCTCTACAAGATACATTGCAATTTACATGGATGTAATGTGTTTTTCATATCATAATAGAGATTAGTAGATTAAGTCACTACAGAAAAAAAGCTGAAAAGTATATTTTGTAACAGGTTTGGTAAAATAACCAATACAATATTACAAGCAGTTGTTTTCTGGTTTTGAATTTGTAGAACAACTTGATATTAGATCCTCCATATATGATGATATATGATCCTTGATGCAGTGAATTTAGATGAGTACCCTATGCTGCTTGTATCAGCACATATCCATTGACACATATAGCAAGAACCCCTGTGGCGGTATGATCTTACAAAAAACCAATACTTCTCAAATATACGGACCACATCAAATCAGTGCAGAGCTGTCAAATAAACTTGTTTGTATCTGACGGAGTGCAGAAAAACCAATAATACCAACAGCGTGTGTTGGCAGGTGGCAATGAGTTTGCACACAATCTGAAAATAATGGAAACAGAATGGTCTCTTTCATTGGCAAACATTGAATGGAGATAGTTCTATAATGACTGGTTGTGGAGGTATTTGTTGTTGTAGCGGATGTGTGGTGTGTTTTCAAAGTGTTTGTTGATTTACTTGTCTGACCGTGAAAACAAATAACAGAGTGAGTCACTCTTCCTACATAGGATGGCAGGGATATGGAAAGGTAGCCACAAAAACACATATTTAGGTAGTCCTTTTGTCAGTGAAAATTTATGTGCAGCAGCTTATGAATTGTTAACGAGATTGTCCTTTTTTATGGCAGCATTTATTACCAACACAGATTTCTCTGTAGTGGTTCCGGCATAGCAAAGTGCTCTCTATAATTACATCAGCAAGATGATCAGTATGCAGAACACTCAAATGTGTTGTTAACATAACAAGGCCTTAAGCACTGATTGATGAAAGTTGCCATCCCTTGTTTGGCTAGCCTCTACCAGGCTAGAAATCGGTAGAAATTTGCCAAATAGAGAGATAAGTTTGTCTGTTGAGAGAACATTTCGCCGCACCACAAACTCCCTTTGCATGCTTATCTCTCTGTTTGGCCGATTTCTACTCTTTCCAGCCGCCTCCCCAAGCCTGGTAGAGGCTATTGTTTGGCCACAGTAGTTGTCCACCTTTGTGTAGATGAAATGAACCACCCCCAGGCCTTGACCCCTCTTGATGTGACATGAAGAAGACCTATAGCTCCCCCGAGGCGAGTTACCCTGCTGGAAATGTGCACTTTCCAAATAATTGTATCTCCTAATTTGGTCCAGGAATAATTGTGTCCAGTTCTCTGATTCGCTGTAATGAGCCGTGCTACTCAATGGATTCCAAACACTGATTGGTTGGCTCCAAACTAAATTGTGTTTGGGAGTATATAGATAAATAAACAAAATGACATTATTATAACATTAGACATGTAAGCTGACGGGCTGTTGGCTACCCTAGTTGTCTGAAAATGAGAATGGAAACCCAAAAATCCAATAGTTTTGTTGAAATACTTTTGCAAAAAGTACAAAACTCAAGTCTCTTTGGTTCAAGTCATAGTAAAAAACACCTATTTTATTTCTCGGCATTGTCTGAATATTTGGTGAGGAATCTGGTTCCTAGTGAATTCTTTTATCAGTGACAACTTTGGAAGGATAAGGATACTAACCTCCAAATTTTCGATGGCTATCAGTCCATCTTGTTCACGGAGTGGCCTAATCTCGCGAGAGCGCGAGACTAGGCCCGAGACTTGCATCGGTCTGTCGGGTCCCACCCCCCGTCGCCTCCCTCCGAAGTA